CAGGGCGTCTGCCAGGCAGCCCTGGGAAGCTCCCTTCTCCACCCACCTGCGGGGAGCCTGTCTGGGCTGCATAATTAAAAAGCCAGCTCTTTGTTCCTAAAACAGCCAAATCTGTGGCTTCCATAAAGGTCCTGCACACCCTGCAGGGAAGAGCTGGTGCCAGGGGCTCACCTTGCCCCACCCACCTGACCTCAGCTTCTCTGAGTGAGACGAATCCAGGACGGCTGTGGGCTGGAGAGAAGAGCCCGGGCCTGAAACAGGGTCAGGGCTGATGGTTGGCATATGGAGGGGCAGGTGGGGGCAGAGGAGTGATGCCAGGGAAAGGAAGGGCTGCATGGGGGCAGAGAGCACGGCTGAGTGGCGCTGGGTACATCCCACCCCTCTTGGCCCATAATACGGGAGAGCCAATCTAAAGTGGAGAGCAAAAGCACTGCCCTGCAGGGCCAGGCAGGTGAATCAGTGAGAACACCAGGCCTGGTAAATCAGCCCAGAGGTGGCAGGATTTTTGCCCACGGGCTTGTGGGTTGTTCTTCTTGCTTTGGAGGCTGAGATCAGTGGCGGGAACTGAGCAAAGATGGAGCCTGCATGTTACACTGGAGGTATCCAGACCAAAAGAAGAAATTAGAAATTCAAGCTCAGCAAAGAAAATATGCTCTGGGCCAGGGCCAACCAGCAGGCTGCCAGTTAGTAACTTGTGAACTACATGACTCTAGGTTACCTTGGAGGTCAGAGGAGTAACAAGGGACTCCTTATCATTTAACTATTGGTAATATGTAATAGCTCAAACCTGGGCTTTGCAAGTAGAAATACTCAGACTCAAATTTTGCTCTATCTCTTACTGAATGATTCCTGCAATTATTTAATCTCTCCATGCCTCCCTTTTCCCATTTCTAATATGGGGTTAATAATAGAAGTGTCTGCCTCACACCATTGTTGTGAAGATTAACTGAGGTTACTATATCAAAATTGCTATATATGACAGGCTCTCCTATTGGTCACTATGATTACAAGTAATTAGGGGCAAGTTTCCTTAGGGCTGGGTAAACTCTCAATAGGCCAAATCTAACATAGTTTATCATCACTATCTTTATTTATTTATATTTTGAGACAGAGTCTTGCTCTGTTGTCCAGGCCGGAGTGCAGTGGCAAGATCTCAGTTGGCTCACTGCAACCTCTGCCTCCTGGGTTCAAGCGATTCTTGTGCCTCAGCCTCCCAAGTAGCTGGGACTATAGGCATGCACCACCAAGCCTGGTTAATTTTTGTATTTTTAGCAGAGACGGGGTTTCACCATATTGGCCAGGCTGGTCTCGAACTCCTGACCTCAGGTGACCTGCCCGTCTCGGCCTCCCAAAGTGCTGGGATTACAGGCATGAGCCACTGTGCCCAGCCCTATCATCACAACCTTCTACTCATAATTATTATTTCTCCTAAAACTACTATATTAAGTGGGAAACTAAATGTGATTTAATTCGTAATCCAAAATTTTTTTCCATGTACATGAATTCCCAAAGCAAGGGGAAAACACCTGTGTCAGATGGAGTGATAAACAGAGATGCCAATAGCATTGAGCCACCTGAAAGAAAAAAAACCCTCAGATTTCTCTACCCCATGCTTCTGGCACATTTTAGCCAAAGGAGCCTAGACCCCAAAAACAGGGAAAAGAAATGAACACGTGTTGAGTGAGGCCCTGTGTTGGAGGCAGACGGCCTTCAGTCTTAACGCTACTCCTGCCAGCTGCATGATCTTGGATAAGGCACTTAACCGCTGGGCCTCAGTTGCCTAACCTGCAAAGTGGGGATAATAATAAGGCTTATCTCATCCAGGGGAAGGGGCTAAGGAATAAAAATCATGTATGTAGAGTGCTTTGTATCTAGTAGATGCTCAATAAATGGTGGCTATTATTGTTTCTCTTGGATCCCCTTTACCTGAGGCTCACCACTCATTCCTGTCAGTGAAGGTCTGGCCAGCCTTTTACTAATAACACATCAGCCATCTCCCAAAGCATTCAAACTCCATAAAAACACGGTTCGGTACTATTCCACTGGGTTCCAACCACTCCCTTCATTCTTCTCAAGAACCTACCATTACTGTCAAAACACCAATTTTCCCAATATACATATTTGCCAATCAGTTCTATTAAAGAAGTATAATAAACGATCTGCATTGTCCAATTAATGCCAGAGGCCCAGCTCATGAAAGAGATGGGAGCACCCATCTTCTCTGATCCAATCCAGTCTTATTTGGCCTGTTGTCACTTGGAAACAGAAAGGAATCAGCTGCAACCACTTGGCCTCTGATGAGACTCTTCGGGAAGAGATTTCCTGGAAACATCCTGGTATCAGGCTGAATGACATGCTTGCTAAGAGATGGCACACAGTGGAGACTGGATGCTCTTGGCTACTGCCATGTGCGGGCTCTCCTGGGTATGGTAGGTCTTAATCCTGAGGCACTGCCTGAAGAAAAATAGCAAATGAGCCTGCAGCTGTGAGCTGTCCCTCTGTGCTCTTCAGGAGGCAACCAGTCTTCCCAGGGGTCCACAGATTCCAGCGCAGTCTCCCAAGTACCATCACAGTTCTCCACCCATTTGAGCTTTCCATCACCCCAGGAAGATGGGTAGACAGCTCCATTTTACAGAGAAGGAAAAACAGAGGTCCAGGGAGGTTTAGTAACTTGTCCAAGGTCACCCAACTCATAAGAGGCACGCCCACTGTGAAAAATCATTAAGAACAGAATCTACACATTTGGAGATTTGGGCCGATTCCACCCTTGGGAATCTCAGTGTGTTCTGCTCACACACTGAAACCAGTAAGGTGCTATGTGGAAAGGAAACCAGTCTGTACTGTGGCCGTTCTCCATGCCAATAATTAGTGCTGGTCAAATCTGGATCAGGTAAATGTTGCTGAGATCTATCTCCCTGCCCTCCGTTCTGCATTTGTGGCCGTCACCTGGGGATGACGTGTGCTGTGGCAGAAGTTCATATGGGCAGCGGCTGGGAGCACAGTCCTTGGGGGTCGGATAGCCTGGGTCAAGTCCTGGCTCTGCCCCTTACTAGCTGCATGACCTTGGGCAAGTAGCTCTACTTCTCCAGGCTTAAACATAAGAATAAAAGGAATAATCAGTAACTTTTAACAAGTGCTTACCATGTGCTAGGTGTTGCCCTAAGCCCTTTTCTTGCATTTGTTCATCATCTCAACAATCCTCTGAGGTAGAACGTGTGTCATGGCCCCCATTTTACAGATGAGGAAACACTAATATGGAAATCCCAGTGCCACTGAGGTGGTAAGGAAAATAGATCCACAGAAGGCCTGGCTCCAGCTCAGTGCCTTTCAGGAGCCTTTACAGAGGTCAGAGGTCAGCACACTTTTTCTGTAAAGGGCCAGATGGTCAATATTTTAGGTGTTCTGAGCCATACAGTCTCTATCGCAACTCTGCCTACCATTGTAGCACAAACTCAGCCCTACACAATATGCAAATGGCGAGTGTGACTGTTTCTACAAAAACTTTGCAGAAACAGGCCGTGGGCTCTATCGGACCTGTGAGCTGAGGGTGCTGACTCCTGCCTTAGGTGGATGGGTTCTCCGCCTACTTATTAGTGCCAATCTTGCTAAACTTCCATAAGTCCCCTCTCTTCCTTTTTTCTTCTAAGTGCCTGAGCCCAACTTGTTGGAAGCTTTTTGTCCCCTCTCTCCCTTTTTTCCTTCGAAGTGCCTGAGCCTGACTCATTGGAGGGTGGACATAAGGTTGCAGAAGAAGATGAGGACACTGACAAGGGTGGGTGCAGCATAGGCTGGGGAAGCTCACTAGTTTCCATCAGCCAGTGAAGTGGCAGGGCGCCAGTAGGGACAGCATTTGGGTCAGTTTGGCAGGGAAAAGGGTCCTGGTTCTCAAGAGCAAGGAGAGAGATTTGCCTGGGAGTGACCAAGACTCTAGGTGAAGGAAACAGGTCCAGACCGTCGGAAGCATTAAATGGGGGCCCCAGTCAAGAGTGCCAGGTTAAGGGTTCGTCTGCCGCTTGGGGAAGATGCAAATACAAAGAAAAGTTCAGGCAGAAGTCCATTCAAAGAACCGGGCAAAGAAGAGGGAGTGGGAGAAGAAGATGTGGGTAACTTTGGACTTTGTCTACTGGTGGGATGGGACCACCAAGATCCTGGCTGCCTGGGGCAGGGTGGGCTCAGGACTAGCCAAGAGCCAGGCCTGCAGCTGAGCCCAGATGAGGATATCAGTAGAAACCCTCACAGGGGAAGCAGCCAGAGGCTCCTCCTCCTCCAGAAACCAACGCAAAAAAAGAGAATGTCACATGCAAAGCTCATGGTGCCTGTGGGGAGCTCAAGAAAGGCCTCTTAACTGAATCCATTCATTGGATAGACATTAATTAAACATGTCCCGTGTGCCAAACCATGGGGAGACAGAGATAGCACATATGCTCAAAGCTGTCACTGTTTACAAGCGAGATAAAGAAACGCACAACTTGACTATAAGACAAAATGTTCACGGAAGCTCAGCCAAGCATGACTGTGACGGAGAAGAGCTCTGACCAGGGAGAGGCCTTTCAGAAGAGTCTGTTAGGCAGATACGAAGAATGGTCACTTTTGTACTCTCCACACGGAGCCTGAATGGTCCCCTGCAATTTGTATAAGGATGAAGATTTGAAGATCACTCTTTCTAGAACTCATATGAACAGTTAAACATCTGAGGGCTTGTTTTCCTTTGAGAAGCATTAAGACCTCAGAGCTCCCAGAAGACAAAGGAAGCCTCTTAATAACGAACATTAAAAAAAAAAAAAAAAAAAAAAAAAGGTCTCGCCCTCAGAGTCCTTCCTAGAGGCGGACTTCAAACAAATTGTGTATTCCTCTCATCAAACGGCCTGAAAGAAAGCCTTTTTCTTCATAATTTCAGTTTCAAGAGAAGTTAGAAGCTGTAGAGCTTTAGAAGGAATGGTTGTCAGGAACTAAACTCTAGCTCTATAAACTGGTTTTAAAAAACCCCAGGCTCACAAAGATAATAAAAAATGTATTTAATAGCATGTCAATATACAGCTTAAATGTGTAGTAAGTCTTCTGTTAGTCAGTGCATTACAGGGATAAAGAGGAGGAATTTCATTTGGAATGCACAGTCCAATGCTAGGTATAGGGTACGGAGAAATCTTGGTGCTCTGAAACTATTAAAATTCCATTTTATGAAACATCACTCCAGGTGCAGGGCGCTGTGCCAGTGCGGGACTCATCTGGTCCGGTGTGCAAGCTACAGTTTTCAATTAAATTGTATACAAGTATTAACAAAAGAATAAAATTTATTATTCACAAAACTAAAGTGGTTATCATAAAGCTTACAAGAGAGTACAGCCTAGAACTAATGAGTTGAAAAACTAGTTTTAAAAATAATAAAACTTACTGGACAGTTTTGGAAAATGATATTATAAAACAACGAAAACAATTGGCACAGTTTAACCACCTAATTTCTAAGTGCACTTTGTAATGTTCCTTGCAAGCTGCCACTTTTCCCAGGATAATGACAAAAAGCTTCAGTCAGGTGTCACTGGCTTATGGTGACGGTTTTTTTTATTGCATTGCCAAGAGTGGATTTTAAGAAAAAACACTACAAAGGTTTCAAAAACCCTATTTATTCTCTATCATCAAAAATAGCAACAGGGGGACTTATACAACTTTTCTGTGAGTACCCACCAGTCTATTTTTTTTTTCTTAAAAAAAATAGAAGTTAGTTAAAGAAAAATGATTTGGTTTTTAAAAAATAATGTAAGGAAACACTTAATCAGATAGCCCAAGGAGTCATCAGAAATATGTGTAGCAAGAAAGCTTCATTTTCGGCCCTCTCTGGCCTTTGCACATCTTTTACTAAACTAGAAAGAGAATGTACAGTACCAATATGTTCCCCAACCTGCTTGGATCAAATTGTTTGTTTTTAAACCCATTATTGCTAAACCAGAGTGTTGACACTGAGCGCCGAGGAGTCCACTCATAGAGGATAAAATTGAGAGGCTGCTTCCGAGGACTGGATCTCCACCTGGGCCATTTTGAACTGAGTGCACTGCAGCCACTTGCGGAGGGCTGCCAGGCCAGCACTGCTCTGGCCCGAGCCCGGCAGCGTCCTTAGGCTGTGGTGGTTCACGTGGTTCTGAATAGCCTGGAGGCGAAGCTGGAGTCCCGCAGATAAGTGCTGTCAAGAAAGGGCAAGAGGTTTTAGTTTATTTCTTTCTAGTGTTCCTGGGCAACCCAGGGCGCGTCAACCCAGGCGGCTTCTTGCAGGCAGAACTTAGGCTTGGCTCAAGGGTTATCTGGCCTGAAGAAGGCAAACTCTCAACTCTGGCAGTGCCCAGAGCAGGGGATCGCAGCGTGTTTTCTAGAGTCATCCTGGCCCAACCCATCAGAATAATGACATGCCCATCTTGACGGACTCACTGCAATGAAAACATAAAGCTGCCACACCAGTGCTGGGGTAACACATAAATTTGGCCCCAGGGAACTGTTTACGACAGGGACCTGGGTGTGGTGGAGAAGTGCCTGGGTTCTGCTGCCAGGCTCCCTGTGTTCAAAGCCTGGCTCCTCTATAGGCGACTTTGGGAACAAGGTTTATTGGTCTGTGTTTGGGTTTTCTCATGGGAAAAGGGGGGAGAGTTACACTTACTCAGGGGGTTTGTGTAGGACAAATGGGTTAAAAGAGTGCTCAGAACAGAACTTGGCACAGGAAGAAGCTAGGATAATGGCTTTTCTTCTTTCTCCAAGCTTCTTAGGGAGTTCTGTCGGCCTCCTCCTGGCCATCTGGGCAATGTAAAATCACCACAGATTGCCATAAAGCCGGGAAAGGGGTAAGAGAGGCAATTTAAAATGCTTCAAGCTGAGAGTGCAAGAAACTCTTTTCACAGAAAAAAAACTAGTATCAAGAGGCAGTTTTCAGCAGTGTCCATGCCCCCGATGGCCACCACAAATAGCACCAAGGCCATAATCAGGACTCAAAGGCTGTGGTCCTTGTTGACAGCCATGCTTTTCTCTTATGGTGTCTGGGCACCCTGAGTTCATACCGCTTTCCTTCCATTAGCATGCCTCCTCAACTCAGAGAAGAAAGCCACAAAAAACTTTCCAGCTTTTCCTCCCGTCCCCACAACACTCTTAGTGCGACAGACAGGACCCGGTTTGGATGGAGCAGGCGGCAGGCTTTGCCATCTTAAGTCAAGCCCAGTAACTCTGTTTGCTAGTCATAGAGTATGTTTGCCCCTACAATGACAAAGCGCCACTCAAGGGGAAGCCTGGGGCTGGGAAATAGATTCGGTTGGAATCTCCTCTTCCAGGCTGTGGGGTCCTGACCAAGTCACTCCTACTTTCGGCCCTAAATTTCTTCATATATGAAATGAGGCAGTAGGTTCCTTGTAGCTCAATCCTTTTATTCAATGTTATCCTTTCATAACAGAATTCTTTCCATGATAGAAAATCAATTTTAGCAACCAGGACATATCATTGAATGTGTCTGGGTATCCTCCAAGGGGTCAGTATTCTATTCTTTTTTTTTTTTTTTTTTTTGAGAGACAGGGTCTTGCTCTGTCTATATATACACGATCTTGTTATCTGCAAACAGTGACAGTTTATTTTTTTATTTCCAATTTACATTTCTTTGATTTCTTTTTTTAAAATAAAGACAGGGTCTCACTCTGTTGCCTAAGCTGGAGTGCAGTGGCAGGATCATAGCTCACTGCAGCCTCGAACTCCTGGGCTTCCAAGTGATCCTCCCACCTCAGCCTCCTAAGTAGCTAGAACCACAGATGCATGCCACCACACCCAGTTAAATTTTTATTCTTCGGTAGAGATGGGGTCTCACTATGTTGCCCAGGCTGGTCTCCAACTCCTGGCCTCAAGCAATCCTCCCACCCTGGCCTCTCAAAGTGCTGGGATTACAGACGGAAGCCACTGCACCCAGCCTTGGCCTGTACTCTCACAGTGGATTGAGGCTCGCTCAGACCCTAGGATGCTCCCCTCCATCTGCATGCTCACCAACCTCAAGCAGTAGGACAATGGCTCCTGCCGCCACCCCCTGCCTGCAGAGCCCTTACCTGGCCCACAGGTCTCCTGCATTATCAGCCCTCTAAGGCCAGGAACAGGTTGAATTCATCCTTCTCCATAGTAAATGGAGCATCAACAATCCCTAGGAATGTTATGTGTTCTCTGCAGGAAACCAAGCTTCCAATCAGCCCAGGGGGTGACTTACCTTGATATTTGACTGAATCATTGGCAACCACATAGGTATCAGCTGTATGGAGAAAGACAAAAGCTTCATTATTAGTGTTCTCTATTCTCCCACAAAGCTTCGCTTATTGCAAGGGAAAACAGGCCACACTGAATCCCTTTCACTTCGCGCATGGATGTGGGCCCTGCGGCAGAGCTACCCGTTATCAGCACAATGCCTTTCTGAGGCCAAACCCTGCTGAGCCAGTGGCATTTGGAGGTTAATAAGCGCCCCATGAGTGCCTGAGATACACACTTTAGAGTAAATGACTGATTGTCTCCCGAAAGCTACTAAGCACAGGAAATTAAATGTGTATTTATTTAATTAAATCCTCACTTTCTTGAAATAGAATTTCCTCCACAGGATCTTTAGAACTGAGTGTCTGAGTGGAATGGCGACTCTATTTGCCTGTAGTCATTAGGAAAATGTCTCTGGTCAGTGGTTGGAACGCTTCAGTGAGTGAGAAAGGCCACTCCGAGATGCCTGGCTACGATCTGGAAGGCGGAATACAGCGAGACGGAGCCGGGTGTCTGCAGGGTGTGGGAGCACACACAGCCAAGCAGCAAGTCCCTGGTGGGGAGCCCTGGCCCTCTGCTGCTTCTCTGACGGACCCTCAACCCCTCTGATGTGGTCCTTCCTGGGAGGAGGTCGCAGGGTGCCCTGGCCTGAGGACTTCCGGAAGCTGCTCCTTCTCTCTGCTTTGGTCCCTCCGCCATGTTTCAGTCCTTTAGAATCTAAGTAAATATTCATGGCCTTGTACATCCAGAAGTCGGAGACAGAATATGGCACTTCTCAAAGCGTGTTCCATGGAACTCTAATTTGGAGAACTTTCAAATGGTGGAAGGGGACTCCAATCCAATAGGTTTGGAAATGTTAGTTTCTTTATTTCAGTACTTCTTAGATCTTTAATACACCGATATGTATCATATCATTTCGAGCCATACACCTTCCAACTCTCCACTCAAATAAAGGAGTAGTGTTGTCATGGACTGAATTGTGTCCCACTAAAATCTATACTGAGGTCCTAATCTGCACTGCATCAGAATGTGACCTTATTTGGAAATGGGATTGTTGAATATGTAAATTAGTTAAGATGAGGTCATACTGGAGTAGGGTGAGCCCCTAATCCAATATGACTGGTGTCCTTATAAAAAGGGGAGTTCAGACACATACACAGAAACACACAGAAAGCATGCTATGTGAAGATGAAGATGGGGACCTACAAGCCAAGGAACCCCAAAGACCCAGCAAACCACCAGAAGCTAGGAGAGAGATCTGGAACAAATTGTCTCTCCAATCCCTTAAAAGGAACCAAACTTGCCGACACCTTGATCTCAGTCTTCTGGTCTCCAGAACTTCCAGGGAATACATTTCTGTTGGTTGAACCACCCAGACTGTAATACCTTGGTAGTCCTGGGAAGCCAGTACAAGGGCATTCCAGGAAGCAGAGAGAAGGCATGGGCAAAGCTCACTGGTGGGAGTGTGCCAAGAGTCGGGGATGGGAGACAGGCACGTGATGCTGACATGTGAGGCTCTTAGAAAACGGCCATGAAAAACAAGTTTAGAAAAGCACAGGCCAGCCCTTCACACCCTTAGCCCACCAGATGGCCCTAAATGCTAAATTAGGGAATCTGAATTTTATTCCAAATGCATTACAGCTTCTGAAGAGGGAATGCTCTATTCACCATGAGCAGGACTGTGCTCCAGAAAGATCACTGTGGCAGCAACCTGCAGATTACGGTAAAGAAGGAGGCAGGGAATGGAGGCAAGCGCCATTGTGGAGGTTGCCTCAATGGTCCAGAGAAGACCAGGGACAGTTTCTGGGGATGGGGAAGGATTCCGCCTGCAGAGACAAATCTTGAGGATCTGAGGATGAGTCTGCTCTTTGCTCTTTCAAGTGACGAAAAGGTCAAAGAAGAGGTAGAGGTTTCTAACCTGGGCAAACTGGGGGACAGTGATGTAATGAAAAAAAAATGAAAGAAGGAGAGCTTTTTGGGATGGGGTACGGTATGTAAATGACCTCAGAGTTCAAAGTTAGTCATAGCCATAAGCTGCTGGTTTCATTGAATTTATCACATTTTCTTTAAAATGAACTTGGTGAAGTGATAAGCTGAATTTCTCTCCCTGTTTTTGATCCCAAGGCTAAATCTGGCTGTTGACTTTTAACATTCTGTTGGTGTATACAATTCGCTAATTTGACTTCCATTGTCACTTACTCCTAAACATTCCTAAACATAGTGTTTCTGTTGCAGCTAGCTAATACGTGGTCTCTAACATGAATACTGTGTTTAGAAATGGAGTATGGTGTGTATCAGAAAATGTCATGAGACTAAAGCTGAAAATATCAGAAAATGCCACCGTCTCCATGCCTCCCCCTGTCCCCCAACCCCTGTAACAAAACTGTGGGATTACAAAGGTGGGTACCAGATAAAGCTGTGCCCTCTCACCCTTACTAGGACTGGCTCCTCTAGGCATTCTGAATGGAAAAAAATATTTATCTAGTCTGTCTCCCCCTATAATTTCTGCACAGCAAAAAGCAAGCCCTGGAGGGTCCTGATGTTATAGACTTTGTTGATCTTTGACTATTTAATATGGAAGTGGGCCCATACGCCTCTTGATATTTGGGAAATACCCAAACTAACCTCCTGTTAAGAATCGTGAGGGACTTGGGAAGAGGAGGGTGAGGGAGTACTGAGTACCCTGTCCCTGGGTGGATACCTTTCCCAGTGCTGCCACTGGGGCTAAGGGTCTGTGTGAAGCAAGCAAGAGGAACAGTGATGTTGGTCTAAAAGGGATTTTATTATTTCCCCATTGATGTAATCTATGACCATGTGATTCTAAAATACACCTGCAAGGGACCTTCAGGTTTGTGATTTGCAAATCACGTGACTAAAGGCATCCAGTTAAAGCTCATCGTTATTGATGACATTGTATAACCCAGCCATCATCCTATTTCAGGAATGTTAATTTGACTTATTGAATAACTTTCATTTTCAGTCTCTTTTGCTAGTGGCTACTACAAATCTGTGAGTAAGAATTCGATGTAATTTATTCTGGGCTCTGCAATGTTATAATGGAGTAAAGTTGGTTGGGTTCCCCCCCCCCCGCTTCAGAAACAATATCCTGAAAACTGAAGAACATTTAAAAAATAGGTTTTCACAAAAATAAAAGTGATACCCTTCCTCTTGTCTTGGTTCATGCTACAGAACAAACGGAAGACCTCCTGCCTGGTTGGACTGTACTCATTTCAATCCTGCTTATTCCAGCCCTCAAAATTACAACTGGTGATGAAAGTTTCTCTTTCAGCCAAGACGGAGTAACAAAGACCAGATTTACCCTCCCGCCTGGAACAACTAAAAATCCAGACAAACTATAAAAAACAATGTCTTTCAGGTATTAAGCATCGAGAAATGCAGGACAGAGATCACTGAGGGAAAGGAAACAAACCAGGTGAGCCCTGCAGGTATTCCAGCCCACTGCCTAGAGAGAGTTTTCAGGCAGTAGCACTAGGAGCAGGAATGCAGGTGGAGCCTGGTAGTCTTCCTGAATGAGGAGATGTAGCCAAGAGCCCTGGGAGGTCAGAGTGACTACAGTTTGCAAGGTAGAGTACTGGACAGGAGAGATCTACAGAGAGAGAGACAACTCCAAAGATCTGCAAGGGGATCCCCTGAGTCTTCAGCTGAGTGTTGGCCAGTACATGCAAGTTATAAAAATTATCCAACACTGGAGGAAAAAACAACCCAAAAATATTAGAAGGAAAAAATCCCCTGGTGATTACATAGGGCCAAGAATATTTTGTGTTCCTATTAGTCAGAGTGGAAAAATCTTGTAACTCATAGAACATCACGAGAGTACTGATGAGTATAGTGGTACACAGCAGCACCGGTGAAGAACTACGTGCCCTACAAAAATTGCTGCTCTGATCAACACCTAACAAAGCTTAAATGTTAGCTTCAGAAGGACAAAAATATTTGTAAGGTATGTAACTATGTCACAGAATAGAGCTTAAGAATTTTTATATGAATACAAAAATACCCATCACCCAAGAAAGTCAAATTTGCAATGTCAACAATACAATAAAAAATTACCAGGCATGCTAAGAAGCAACAACAAAAATTACGACACATGAATGAGGAGAAAAATCTGTCAACAGAAAATAAAACAAAAATGACACAGATAACAGAACTAGTAGACAAGGACATTAAAACAGTTAATAATAACTATATTCAACATGGTCAAGAAGGTAGAAGAAAGATTGAACATGTTGAGTAGGGGCACTGAACAAAATATTTGAAGAAACAATGGTTGATACTTCTCCAAATCTAATGAAAACTATAAATTCAAAGATCCAAGAAGCTCACCAAACCCAAGCACCAGAAATACGAAGAAAACTCTACCAAGGCATAGCATCATCAAATTGCTTAAACATAGTGGCAAAGACAAAATCTTCAAAGCAGCCAGAGGAAAAAAAGACATATCACATACAGACAAAAAAAAAAAAAAAAAATGAATGACAGATTTCTTGTTGGAAACAATACAAGCAGAAAGACCATGGAGGAGCAGTATCTTTAAAGTATTGGGGAAAAAAAAAAAAAAAAACTCTGAAACTGTCCATCTAGAATTCATTACCCAGTGAAATTTTATTTCAAAAATGAAAGCAAAATAAAGCTTCTGAGACATACAAAACCTAAAACAATTAATCACCAGTTGACCTGCACAGAACACTTTACAGAAAATCCTTTGGGCAGAGAAGGAAAGATGAAAGATGAATGTTTAGATCTATGGTATGAAGTGAAGAGCACTAAAATGGTAAATATAAATATGGCAATAATAGCAAATATAAATGAATATAAAACTTGTTTAAAATCTCCTTAAGAGATAATCAACTGTTTAAAGCAAAAATAATAATGTATGATTTGCTTTATAAAATATATAGAAGTAAAATGTATGACAATAATAGCATGAAGTCAGGAGGTGGGAAATGGAGGTATGTTATTGTTCAGTTCCTATACAATACATGAGGT